CCAACATATTTTATGGAGAATAACTATTTACAAAATGTAACAATGTTGTTTGTAAAATGAAGGTGATATAAATATTCATAAATGAGAAAAAACAATAGAATTTATCCCTAGGACATTTCCCTTGTAATAACAACTAAGAATTTGTTGAGGTATTAATTTGAATTTAGGTGGAAAAAAGGAACTCTTGCAAAAGTGATTATGTATCTAATAAGAAAGGTCTCTGTAATTACATTTTTTCGCTTACTGATTTAACAAGTTAAGTGCATAAAGCAATATCTTTAAAATTGTGTTGTTGTGGCTATAGCATATAGAATTTCCATATATTTGACAATAAAAGCCAAGTGAATGAAGCTATATTTGAAAAAGAAATGACACCATATGGCAATTTCAATCTACAAGAAGATATGAAGAAATGAATAGAGACACAGTAAATAATAAGCTTAATTAAAACCTGTCAATGAACCTGTTTGAGCTTTACTTCCTCTTCTGAGCTTTTTAGAATGACTTACATTTTATAATAAATTATAAATTATAAGAAATTTACTAGGTGGACCCAAAAGTAGATTTCAGCTGATAAGAGAAGATCAATCTGAAGGTAGATCAGTAGAGTCTAGGCATATAAATAGCAAAACAGAAAACGGATATGGGTAAATATATCTTCATGTGAGACACGTTTAAGTATAACTACATATGTATAATGGGAAAATTAAGGAAGGGAGATAGAGAGGGAGAAAAAGATAGAGAGGGAGAAAAATTATGACAATGTATTATTGTGTCATATATATATATATATACACACACACAAATACTTAAGCATACACACATGAAATTTGAATTATAGCACAAAATGGGACAAGGTAAGACAGTTATATAGTAGTGAGGTTTTTATATCTTGATCAGGGAATTTAGCTTAGAGGTAGAGTGGATTGATCTTCAGAATATAAAACAAACTTTTACAGCTTACTGAAATTTAGTTAGTATAGAGATGAGATAGAAATCTTGTAAGTTAAGTTGTACACCATAAGACCCCAAGCAACCACCAAGAACGTGGCTCAGAAAACATTAAGATCAATAAGGAATTACAATAAGATATTAGAATATATTCAAAGAAGATGAGAGGATGTAGTAAAGAATTGAAAAAGAATAAAATATGATACTATATTTACTGCTTTTCTTATCACTGTGACCAATTTCTGACAAATTAAAGGCAACTTACAGAAGAAAGATTTATTTGATGCACAGTTTCAGAAGGTAGAATGCATCATGGTTAGGATGCAGAGTATCAGGAGCATGAGGGGGTTGCATGTGTTGTCTCTGCATCCAGAAAGCCAGGAGAGATGATTGCTGTTGTTCAGGAGCTTGCTCCTTTCAATTCATTCCAGAATCCTAGTCCATAACATAATTCTGAACATGGTCAAAGTGGATCTTTCCTTCTCAGTTAAATCCATGCTGAACCATACTCACAGATACACCCAGAGGAGTATCTCCTGGTGACTCCATCTCTTGTTAGTTGGAGGATCAAAACACCATCAAAGATAGATAGCATTTAAATACCAAAATGTAGTCCATTCATAGTTTAATATCCCAATCTTTGGTAATATGTATGAAGTGTTTATAGATTGAATCCCTTTTCTTTGTAAATTCATGCCCCCCAAATAATATAGGATTCTAGTCCTAGCATTTTTTATACTTGAAATTATTTAAGCAAATTTCTATGAACCCATAGAACAGATTTTGTTTCAGGTGATTCCTGAATTAAACTATCTAGTTGACAAACACCCACACCCTGAAAACTGTTAGTAATAGAATGGCCAACACCTCAAAAAGAGATGCAAACTGAGATTCACAGTTTATTTCAAACCAGTACCCGTTTTACTCCATGGTCACCTGATAGTTATTCTGTGGCACTATTAATATGGACAGAACATGTGTTTGCATTTTCACTTCTGTTCTGGCATTAAAGATGCTCAAAGGAAAAAGAACAGCTACTGATTTTGAAATATATTTAAGTTGAATGCATTGAAACCACTCATTTCATGGCTCATTTAATGTCCTAATATCTCTTGAAGGGAAGTCTACATTTGTGTGGTTATGTGTAGAGTGTGCACAGTAAGGATTAATGAGGTTCATAATTGCACACACAGATCACAGCATATTTATCTTGACGATGGATTGTTTAGAATGCATATACTGTATTTGCTTATGTAAATTGGACATTTATGAATAATATGTGAGCATAAATACCATAAGTAACACACACTCACCCACATACACATGCACACTCATACACACACTCATACACACACACATAGAATGTCACATGCTATCACGAAGCATCATAGCTATGCTTTAATACCTAGCTTCTTTCTTTGCAGTTGCCTGATGGCTATACATACAATCTCAAGAATCATACTAGCTATGTTCAGTCTCCAGCTCTGCTATATATCTTCTGTGTGATCCAATATCCATATGGAATATAACAATGCCTTGCTCATGATTTCCCTAAGGATTGAGTGACTTCTTAATGGAGTCAGTGTTAGGTTACTCTCTATAAATTTAAGATAGTTTTTTTTTAATCTGATTTCTGTCTTTCTTGGAGATAAAATATTTTCTAGAGTATGTGCTAGGTAGATTATGATTCCTATATAACAGACCCTCATGTGTCTTTTTATGATGGTTATTGTAGCTGATACACTTTTCTCTATGATACCTTTATAGTTTTTAATTAACAATACATAGCTTTTGGTGATATGGATTCTACCTGAGAGATGTTGCTTTCCAGACACACGTGTGGGTGTCTTACCAATACTTTCAATAGACCTTCAGTCTGTTGTATAAAGGTAGGGTTGTTCCAATTTCAAAAAAATTTTTTGTGGTTTTCCTGCATCTTGTATTTCTCTGTTACAATTCTTTTCATACTTAAAAATGGCAGCCCCCATCTCTTTCCATTAGATTCTTAACATCTTAGAGGTGCTTGGTACATAACACACAAATTAATGAATTCAAAATTCATCCTCAGTTCTCAACTATGTACTTACTTTCAAGATCTTACGAAAGTCTACTGATTTTACTACAGACTCAAGTTACCTTTAACAACACGTAGGAGACAAGCCCTTCCTTGGTATCAGTAGCTCATTGGTCCTAAACCTCTGAGGATACCAACTCTGGTTTCTCAAGCTAAGGATGTGGTATTTGAATGTAACCATCACATATACTCCTACATAGTTTAAATAATTTCTAGATTGTTCCCAATGTCTAATGTACTGTGAATGCTATGTAAATACTTATTATAATTTGTTGTTTGAGAGAAGTGTCAAGAAAGCAATTCTATACAGTTGCATTTGTTTGTTACAGATGACTTTGTTCGAACATTTTCTATTCATGGTTGGTTGAATCCACAGATATAAAACCTGTAGCTATAGCAAGGTGACTGCCCTAAATGGAATAATTCATTATTGTATAGAATTCTTTTCTTCCTTTCCTTCTTAGAGATGTTATTTATTCTTTAGGTAAGATGTGATGCTATCACTTCTTTTATTATAACCCTTACAAGACCTGTTCAGATACTGCTCTGCCTGCCTTTGTCACCTCCAGCCCATATTCCTACTCTTCTCAAAGTTACTCCCAGCTAGGTGCTTCATCATTTGCCCATTGTATGTTATGATATAGTTATTTTGTACCTGCTGGGTCTCTCCTTAGCTTATGATTTTTGGTTCAGCTATATATTCACCACAGAACATGTAAGTAGCAACCATTTGATAACTGTAAAGGTTTAATGCAGAATGTGCTCAGTGTGTGGTACTGAGTACCAGAGACGGGCTTGCCTCATAACAGTGAAAATGATTTCTTTACTATTCTTCCTGGAGATATCTGTCAATGAATGATCTTCATGGTATTGCAAAAAGAAAAAAAAATGTCGGTACACATAGTAGCTAATGTAATGCCTCATAGCTGGTGTCACTTTGAGATAGCATTTTCTCACTCTGAAGACTTTTTATTTGAAATTAGGAAAAGTAGACCCATATTACTACATTGATATGACATTTGATGTCATGGGTGGTGGGGGTTTCGATTTCCTAAATCAAGTGCTTGGGCTGAAGAATGCATCATGTCAAAACAGATTCCCTTTATTCCCTATGCAAGTTCTCTTTGAATACAAATAAAATTACATTGTTGGGGCTCCCACCAGCACTCTGCTGCTCTTCTAGTAGCAGTTCTCATTACTCATTGCGCGGCCATAGCACCTCTTGTCGTGATATGTAGTGGGTGTGAGCTTTGTCCACTCTGTGGTCCTACCTCAGAAGTCTCTCTGCCACACTTTTTTTTTTTTAATGTAATGGCAATTCACCTTTTCTCCCCTATTTCCCATAAAAATACACAGATTTTAAGCTGTTCACTTTGTACCTCTGGTTTAACTAAAACACATAGGATTATAATTACTACTTGTGCAAGGCATTTTCACTTCTGCAAAATACTTTCATAGCTAGTATTCAATTTTGTGTCCTTCCCGAGTCTTAGGGCAAGTACCAGAAACATTATAGAATATAAGAAAAAATGCTGAAACAAAACAAAAGTTGCATGATAAAACGTGGAGTCCATTTTGGGTTGTTCAACTACTGCTGTATGAAGAAAATTAATGTTATGACCCTTTAATCAGTTATTTGTGCTCTGGTGACCTCCCGAACCATAAAATTATTTTGTTACTACTTCATAACCACAATTTGACTATTGTTTTGAATCATAATGTAAATATACAATATACAGAATATCTGATATGTGACTCCCAAAGGGATTGTGAACCACAGAATAAGAACCACTGATCTAGAGTTTAAGTGAAAAACTCTAGGTCACACAGTCCAAAGGCAACAGCAATAGAATTCTATCAAGTACAGGCCTCCTCATTACCAGCTTGGTCCCAACTCCACTCAGCCTATAAGGAAAAGGGCTTTTCACACTCTTATGATCCTTGGGCTAATGACTCCCATTCTCTTTTTTGGCAGAGGCATCCATCCTAAGCTATGACGGCAGTATGTACATGAAGGTCATCATGCCCATGGTGATGCACACAGAAGCAGAGGATGTGTCTTTCCGCTTCATGTCACAACGAGCCTATGGGCTGCTGGTAGCCACTACCTCCAGGGACTCTGCAGATACACTGCGTCTAGAGTTGGATGGTGGGCGTGTCAAGCTCATGGTGAACTTAGGTATCGTATGAAGGACCCTCTGTCTTCTGTTTGGGCTTGTCCTCCCTTCTTTTCTGATTTTCATTATTTTCATTGAATTCTTTGTTTCTTGAAAGTTAGATGCTCACTTCTTGTTTAATAGACCATGGATTAAAAACCAACAGCAACAAATGCCTTTTCCTTATTTCTGCATGAGGGTTTGATGTCAATTTTTGGTCTCTGACATTGGTGATTTCTTTACTAGAGTATTCGTTTTCTAAGTTTCCTTTCTTGATTTTTTTTTGGAATTGTTTAGCTTTGTGTAAAACACGCTACTTTGGTCCATCTTTTGATCAATCAATCATTTTCCCATTAAGTCCAACTCCTTGTTCACCACTCAAAACAGTCAAAGCTGAGGACAGGGACAGGAAGGAGAGGAGGCAAAATGAGAGGGTGGGTGGGAGAGAACTATGCTGTGTGTTGTTTCTAGTTCCACAGTGACTATTCCTGTGGATAGTTCCAGTGGCCTGGATGTTACTGATATCTTAAGCTTATTCCAAGCAAGATGTCAAGTTACATTGCCCCTTTTATGCCATTGGAAACAGTCTTTCTAAGGTTCATAGCCTCCTGATATGTATACCTGTTTTCTTTTCTGGTGTTCTTATCACTTGTCAATAGCCCTTTTGATATAAAGACTATTGCCTTCCAATGTCCACCAGTTCCCCTATTTTCTCTGTGTCATACGTATCAATCCCCTAGATTTGGAAAAAAATAATAACTTCATGTTTATAGTTTATTGGGTCATGATGTGTTTCTTCTTTTTTTTTTCTCTGTAGTTACTTATAATGGATACTTGTGAAATCCTTCTCCTTATGGCCTCACATTCTTCCCTGCTATTAATCTCTATACTGGCTCCTAATTATTTTCTTTGGAGAATGGAAACCTCTTGGCTTTGAAAAAAAACAAACACTTCTGTTTCTGCTCTTTTCACTCAGCCAAAAGCCAAATACTCAGCGATGTCCGAATTAATGCTTTACCTGAGTCCATACTTCTAAGTTAGTGGATTCATGTGGACTTGTGGACCATATTTGAATATAGAGCTCTTTAAAAAAGATTTGGCAGAGCCACAGACAAATGTGCCAGACTCAAGACCATAGAGAACCCTAGCTTAACTGGCTGAAAGGTGGGGTTTTGAAACCACATCACTCTTATCTGCTCTTAGGTCGACTGGTACTTTTCCCAAAATATGAAAACCTTGAGGACACTGGACTGTTTTGAGTAGTGGCTCATTTAGTTGTGTGTTTTTATTTTACCTCGAGTTTCTAGCATTTATGACACAGTGCACTTTTTCCCTATCTACTCTCACCTGCTCTTTGTTTTTAGTGTGTCTCTTGGCTTCCTTTTGTTTGTGTCTGTGTATGTATTTGATTCTTTCAGGGTTTTTATTTTTCTTCTATTGCTGGATCTTTTCTTGTGTGTGTATCTGTATTCTTGAGTTTTCAATCCTCCCCACCATCTACCATGGTAAATCAAAAGATGGTATTCAACCCTTCAAAGGCCCAAAGCCTGCGGCCCGCATAGCAAACAGCCTTGAGAACAGAGAGTACTGAGAAGCCTGCAGGGACTGGCATACCTCTGCCCTCCCCACCTGCCCTCCCGCAGCACCCTCCCCATCTTAGCTGGAGCAAACTAAGCATGTTACACTACCTAAAACCAACAACCAGATACTATGATTTATTTCCCTAGAAAAACAGCAACAAAAACAAAGATAAACACAAAAGCATAACATAAAAGATAAAACTGAATATCAGACCCCTGCCTACCACTCACCCTTAGGAAAGCAAAACAAGGCATCACAAGGGGCATATGTATGTCTTTCAAAAAGACAATTTGCCTTTTTCATTAAATGATATTTTGTAAAGGCTAGAAAGGCAGCCTCAACAGGTGTCACCTTACAAGTAAAACTGAAGTCAGAGAAAAGGATAAAAGATGAGCAATGAGGGAATGGAATGAAAGCCCCCATTTCAGATCACACACACACACACAGAGACACACACAGACACACAGACACACACACACACTGAGTTAGTCATGGATCCTAAATGTATTTCTAGAAACATGCCATTTACTCCTTGTCTATTTTAAATTGTGCCAAACCTGGGACCCAAGCCTTCCACAAGGATAGCTTTTGCCTTTCAGCATCTGTTAGCTCACCCTCCCTCTAACTCCTTGTGAAATCCTTCTCCTTATAGCTGAGACAAGTGCCTGAAAGAGTCTCAATGGCATTAGAGCACTGTTCTCTAAAAAGAGAGAGTTGTTTGCTTCTCACCAAGCGGTATGGTCCATCACGCGTATGACTTTAGATTATTTAACTTTCTCTCAAGCCTGACATAGGAAACTAAACATTAATCCTTGTACTGTATACACACTTCATATTCAGGATTTGTCCGAGGGTTTTTTCCCTCCGCTTCACCCAAATATTTTCTTCTGCCTTGTCACAAAAAGTCATTTCTTTGTGACAAGAAAGAAGAAAATTATCTCCAAGCACAGTTTGCCTCTCCCAAACTAACTTTTTTCTCTTACTATATTTTCCCCCCTCAGGAAAGGTCTTACTCTGTAGGCAAAGCTAGCCTGGAGTTCTCTGTAGCTCAGGCTAGCCTCTTGGGTGCTTGAATTTTAAGTTGTTCCCCCTTGATAGAGCACACAAAAGATATTCAAGTTCATTCAAATGGCTAACACACGGGAGCTCAATGAGAGAAACCTAGTATCTCCTTTTCTGATATAGTCTAACTTCTACATGCCAAGCAGGCTAGAGTTTTCCTAAGGTTTTTTTTCCTAAAGGCAGGCATATGTGATCCCAGTCAGTATACAAGATATCAGACACCAGACAACACCATTTAAAAAGTTACAAAGCTGGCTGTTGAACAACCAGTATTTGTTCCTTGTGCATTAAAAAGAGGTAATGACAGTATTTTACCATCAAAGTACATTTAAAGATTTCAAAGACTGCATTTTATTTCAACCAAACAACAGTTTTAGGAGACAAATTAGCAAAGCCTGTTTAATGTTTACTTTGCTAGACATGAAACTTCTGTAGGAAGTTAGTAGCAGAGCTGAGATTAGAACCCCTGACTCTAAACCATTATGCGTTGTCTGTTGGCTCCACAGATCTGCATTGTGGCTCAGTGATGGGGCTGTCTTAATGGCAACATTCATGACAGTCGCTGTTGAAACATTCACATAGGGGACCTCACTTTGCCTTAGTGCTCAGTTTTAATCGAGTCACATTGCAGGAAAGCCACTGATAGAGATGAAGCCTTAGATGTCCGTAGCAGTGCTGGGAAGCCTCCATCCATGCTCACAACTCTAAGGGCAGTGTTGGGCATTCAGTTAATCACATTTAACTCCTCCAGATTTGCTTCCTCTAGACATCCTGAACACTTTTGCATAATGGAAAACACACAGCTTTCAGAAGCATCCATGGCTTCCACAGTATTGCAAAGCTCACCAGTACACAAAGCAATCACTTCTCCTACTTCACTGTTACGAGGCAAAGGAAGTAAAGCAAACAAGTAGCACATATATGCACACATACCCAAACGCCCTCAAGTAGACTTTTTCATTCAGAGAGCGCACCCTGGCTGCTATAGAAGATAGATTTACACAGAGGACATGACCTTCTCCAGCTCATTTTTCATTAAAAGCATTCATTCCCTTACCACAAGAATGTTGCCTAAGAGCTCATCAAGAAGACACTAGAGAAGATTTTTCCCCATAAAGTACTTACTTGTTCTTTTGGTAAAATAAAACAATTCAATGTGTCTTCACTTAAACATATTGTCCGTCTTCCCTGAAAGCCCCCAGTTCTCACACTGATTTAAAGGTACAGTATAAACCTCATGGAGCTATTTGCATATCCAGGAAGATTAACCCAACTGAAATGCCTCTCCTTATACCAGACTCCTGTCTAGTGATAAAATCCTGAGCTTCCCACAACAGAAGAGAAAACTTTTGCTTACAGTCCTTGGGTTGGCGGTTTTAGGTCCACTCCTCTTTCTCCTAAGCATGTCTCCCCATACTCCAGTTTCCTCTCCCTTGGTAAGTCAGGAAGAGGTATTTCTCCAACTTTGGGTAAGATTAGATGCAACCACTAGCTCCAGCCCTACCTTTCCCTCCTGCCTGCCCCGCCTCCCCAGCCCTCCTAGGGGCATAGCCTCCTCTGTATGGTGATCGTACCGATTGCTCCAGGGCTGTTTGCTCCCACTTTTCTGTTGCGGTTGACGACACATGACAAACCTAACCGCACGAAACCAAACCCAGATTTTTCTCAAGAGATGTTCTTCTGGGGAACAACACCAAAAAGCTCCCTGCCTCCATCATCGAGATGACTGGATTTCAGAAGTTGCTCCTAACTGCATTGAGCATAGTTCTGTTCTACTGGGCTGGGTGCCAGTTCCTATTTCACTTGTTCATCTAAAATAGCTCACTTTAGGGGAATCCAAATGGTGGCTCTGCTGTACTAGTCCTCTGAAAACTATTGGGTGAACCTTGAGCAGCAGAAGAATGGTTTATATACCGGTGTCTCCCGGTAGCTTGCTTTCTTTTCTTATTATTGAATTTGACCCTTCAATTTCCTACTTTGTATGAATATTGATTGGAATTTCCACCATCATGAACCAACCCTGGGTTCAGCTGGGCAATTTGGTAACAGTTCCCAAGCCATTACTCCAGCCATTGCTCCCCATTTTCCTACCGACACTTATGGACTCTACTCAGGAATTCCCATGGGGTGTGCCCATGATTGCCAGACAGTAGTGAATGAAGCATTAGCTCCTCTGACCTCTGGCACAGAATACCAGTGTGGTTGTCAATAGGCAATTAGGCAGTTCTTTCCCATGTTTCCCATGTAAGAGACAAAATCCAAACCAAAGGATTTCCCTCTTGTGATGCAGAATCACAGGGTAAAATAGGCAGGATGTCAAAGGTACCCACGACCTCCTCCACACGTACCTGCCCTGCCTTCTCCCTGAATGCTGTAGACACTTCATTCCGTCTGGGCATTTGGGCAGGAAGACAGAGATAGGCTTCGTGAGTGGGTTGGTCCGGGAGCCTTTGAAACAATAACAATCAGGAAAGCCAACCAATTGTGATAACATCCTAGGGTTTTTTTTGTACCCTACACCTGATTGACCCCACCTCTCTAAAATCTGCGATGGGTGTTGGTGCGGTTAGCTGTTTGCAAGTGGCCATTTTATGACAGGAAATGACCAGGTGGTATTAACCCTTTCCTTATGTCCAAGGGTGACGGCAAATGTGCCTATACAAATTTCTATAGTATCCAGGGCCCAACCTAAAGTGAGGGTGGAGGGGGTTGGATTTTAGAAGAAGAGAAAGGGTTAAATACTACCCTGTGAAACTTCAAAGACATATTTTTTTTAAAAAAAATGATACAATGTGTCAGAATGGTGATTATATTTTGAACTCTAATGCAAAATTCTTGTTAATTCACTCAAAGATCATTTTAAGAACATACATTATAGGGGGGTATAACCTGTATTTGGAGAGAAATTTTTTCCTAATTTTCTAACTTTAACAAATTAGCATCTCAAAATCCAACTGTGAAATAAATTGTACAAATCAATAGGTTTTTTAAAAAAACCACCACCAACAACAAAAAAAAAAGTCTTGATGTCTATTGTGGATATATATGTATACCAGTATATATCTCTATACATATGTGTATATATATATGTGTGTGTGTGTATATATATATGTATCTAACTTTACTAATTAATATACTGTACATATACACCCACCCGTAATCTTGTACATATTGTATATGTATATATATATATATAAAATGGCCACATTTCTTGCGTGTGTCTGTCCCCGGAAGGGTGGACTGATTGTTTTTGGATGTCTGCAGCTGTTACCTTGAAGGATGCAATTTCATCTTTCATTTATTTTTCCCCATCTAGACTGTATCAGGATAAACTGTAACTCCAGTAAGTTTTTCCTCAAGTTTCATTTTGTTCTTAAAAAAAAAAAAAAGCAAAGAAAAACTGACTTTATTTTGTTGACTGTTTTATGCGCTGGTTTTTTGTTTGGATTGTTTTATTTCTTTGATGAGTTGTGAGGGGAGTCAGAGGTAACAAGTCAGAGGGTTGGGGTGGTAGTCCTTGCAAGGACTCTGTGTGGCTAGGGCTATGGTCTCTGAGTGGGGCAGATCCTCCCTTCTCTCCTTCCCTTGCATTTGTTCTATAAGCAGGAAAGGAGAAAAGGACTGTGGATTCGTCCCTTGAGAGTGAACTGAAATGGCATTGTATTTATTGTCTCCAGGAAGCTAACCTCTGGGGTAAACAGAAAGCTTTAGTTTAGAGCAACCAGCATGCACTTCTCCACTACCCAAAATAGTAAGTGACAAAGGCAAAGTTCATGACCTAGAGGTGGCTGCCAACTCTGACATTTCTTCCCTGGCCTTTATCACTGTTGGGGGTTTGAGAGGGGTGGGCAAAAGCCTGGTTTTGGAGATGACACAACATTTTAACCAAACTGACTCACTATGGTTCCTCTAAAGGAGGATTGCAATTCACCATTTTCCCCATTGCCCATTCAAGCATCCAGCTGTTAAGAAAGATCTTAAGAACATACATGATGAAAAATCTCATCATCTTTCTTCCTCTCTCTTAAAGTGAACATCAATTATAGGTGAGGATGACGGACAAAAGAAAGATGGAAACGGAAAGAGTAGTTTGTAATGATTAAAGGAGAAAAGGGGGATGTCTGTTGAGCGCTCTTGTGTCTTATATCAGCTACGCTAATTAATGCTCACTGTTATAACGAAGCATCCTGAAATTTCATTGACTCAAAACAAAGGAAGGATTTCTTTCTGATTCAGAAGTCTAGTGCCACTTGAATGGCTCTCCCAGGCCACTCTCTCCAAAGACATAGTTCAAGATCACAGACTTCTTCTATGAAATGCACCAACCCTCTTGGAGATCTTCAGTTCTGCATCCACAGCTAGGAGAAATCTTGGGTAGTTAAACAATATCCTTCATCGCTTTGCATGGGAGTAGCCCGCATCACTTCTACATACTTGTCTTTGCCAGATATGACTCCATTCTGCATGTAAAAAAAAAAGTAGGAAATGTAGTCTTGGGAGCATGCGGGAAGAGCAGTTCAATCTTTTAAACATCATAGCTCACAGAAGTCATGGTGATATCTGGATTCTGGCTTTTTCCTTACTGGAGTCTTCCTGGAGGAATGCAAGTAAAAAAAAAAATGACACCAAACTATCTAGCTTGTATCTTTTGTTGGCTTGCTATTCCCTTCATGCATCAGTTATACAGATGCTGGATCAGCCTTCTTTTTTAGATGTTGTTTCAGGATGACATTAATAAAGCATAGTTCTACACATTTTAGGAACATGTTCTTTATAACAAGAAATATGTGTATATAAACAAAATACTACATAGAAAGTTTTATGCATGTCTTGGCATTGCTTTAACTTATTTTAAGCAATGTCCTATTTTGCCGTGTTAAAATATTTCTAATTAGGCAGATATTTCTCATGATATTTAGATGGCTAAAAGCCTAATTAAGACATTCTTTGTTTCCAAAACCTGGAGTTTTAGAAATTTGTGGCATTTTAAACAGCATTTAGGGATATAATTTCTATCCCCTAAAGTCACTGATCATAAGCCTACAGCTCAATCTCATTAATTTAGTCTATAAATTTGTACAGACAACACCTAGGTCACATTATGAATATTGCCATCACCCACCAGATTCCTCATTTTTCCACCTGCATTTATTTAATCCCTGCTCCTACTCTTAGTCCCAGACAACTTCTGATAAACATGTTTTCTGCAAGGTCTTCCTTTCTAATATATGAGATAGGTTTCATATATTAGAATCTAATTTGTAGCCTCTTGAGTCTGACTTCTTTAAAATTTATAGCATTCCTAGGAGAAGAGTTTTCCCCTTTCCTTTCACACTGACTTACAGTAAACTAATAAAAAGACAGAAACTGAACACAAGGGAAGAAAGACTCATGTCAAGAGTGTGTTGGCTTCTGAGATTTACTTGGAGAGAGATGGAAGCTATCTGATCAAGATACCAACAGGTGTTCTTCAGTTTGAACCCCATTTGTTCATGGAGCCAATTTCATATATTCTGTATGACCAATCCTGGATGGTACCAGAGATAAATACCAGGATTATCTTCAATGGGTAAACCTGGTAGAATGTTTTCTATTCTGAATATAGAGAAACAACATTGAGAGGAAAACATTGTAGCAAGAGTGTGTTTTCCACCCACCTTGTCTCAGTGCTGAGAGTATAACTGGTCTTGGTTGAATAACTGGGTGGGTCACATTTTATTTGAGCTCTTGCTTCTCAGTTCTCATGATAATCATTTAAGACGCTTAAATGACAGTTAACATCACAGAGCCCATCAGAATAGTAGTATACTGTCCAGTGATTGAGCCATAGTTGTGTTTTTTTAAAGTGTTTCTTTAAAATCTAGGATCTTTAGTGCAAAAGTATGCAGACATATACCCAGAGTAATGTGGAGTCACAAAGTAAATGTGATACATTTTCCCAAGTAGATTTTAGTTTTGAATTGCTGTTATGGCTGAAATTGGAACTGAAATGATGCATTATGCAGAAGTCTGTAATAAGTATAGATGTTTTAGGGATAAAAAAGAACTCAAAGACATTTTCTCTGTATGGCTTATCTTCTCTAATCCATCTTTGGTATTGTTGGCACATGGATGAAAGATCTTGAGAACACTATGCAACTAAATTTGGAGATAAAACATGTACAAATAATTAGAATGTCTAATCCCCCCTTCTTGTTGATTCCATGTCATAATTCACAGCTTAGTCTCATTTGACATTTGCATTTGTTTCTTCAATAGGGATATGGGTTCTTGCTGCTACCTGATTGTCAACTAGAATCTCATTGTAAAGAAATCCCATCATCTTGTTGCCTGGGATTGGTAGGGAGGAGGCTTTTCTCCTAAGTCTCAGCTTTGTCTCCTGCTGAATCTCAGTGCCTTCCATCACTCAAACTTTGAAGCCATCTCTGGTGATTTTCCCATACAGGAGACATAGTGGATTGAATGGATCAAGTTTCAGTACACATCCAGAAACATTTCACATGTCTCTTTTATAGGATGTTGATTCTCTAAAAAGTTGCTCATAGAAGATACTGGATGCTATCTGCTGTGTATTTCCTGCTTTTCTGCTGCAAGAGTTTCTGGGAAAGGGTTAGTTTTAAGGGATTGTGTGACATTCTTAAGGGAGGGAAAATATAAAAACAGAGACAGATAAAGGGAGTCTTGAGGCAGAGATGGAATTTTCTTCTGTCCAACTTCCCTTTAGCCCTCCTGTCATCCTGCTCCATGGTGAACGATTCTTAGCAGGAAGAAGCAACGAGTTTCTACTCCTATTCTTTCATCAACACTCTCTCCTGTTGGTATCTATGATAGTTTTTATCATTACTTATTCTTAATCTTACTGCCTCTGTCTTCCAAATCCTTCCATGGGAGCTCATCACAGATTCCTCCCTTGTTGCTATCACCCAACATAACGGAGTGTAACAACAAGATCTTTGGTTAAATTGAGGTCATCCCTGGATTGGATTCATCTGCCAAAAATGTGCTTAAAGATATTTGATAAAGAAGGTTGCAGCTTAGAACTTACTTTGTAAATGCAAAGAAACAACAGAGTTGGCATTCATCATGGGGAACTGAACTCCAGGCTGGCCTGAGAGTCAGCAAAACCATGTCTGCTCTCTGGAGAATTCTGGAGGAAATCGCCTATCTCTTTGGTTCCAGCTGTATGAGGTGGGCCACAACCTCTGACACATTCCCTTCTGGAAACAGGTAAGATATTCTCATTGATTGGAATGTTTGCTGGTGTGAAAGTATGGAAGGTGATTTGCTGACCTTTATATTACGTGATTATGGTAGGGCCCTCACTCTCCTTACTCATTCTACAGCTTCAAGCCCTATGACATATGAATGAATGTTAGACATGTGTGCTCACTAAGAGTGGCCATACTGTAACTGAATCTAGTGACTATATGTTGACACATATTAATTTGCTTTTTGTTTTCTCACCCTGAACCTCCACTCACAGGTTGCCTGCCCTATTCTGTGGTTCATAAGAACTCTCAGCTTGTGCTTTGTTACTGAGGCAGATGTAGAAACCCCAATCTCAATCACTAATTACATTGACTTTGAAGTCGTACTAGTTTTTCTTTAATAGCGCCATGCTTATCTTAGACATAACTAGAGGACCATAAACAATAAGGATGTTTGAACACTCAGGTGCCACTGGGGAACTTTTCTAAGCTTGTCTGATTCTCGTGCAGATGCCATCAGCAGGGGGCACACACTGTCAGAGATTTGTGGGCCTTGCCATAAGGATTGCATCCTTTTACATCTTGACTCGGAACAAGTTTACTGGAGATTTCCTCTCATTATTCTTTCAGTTTTTTTATTATCTGCCTGGACTTTTGCCCTAGTTCCCTGTCTTCATTCTCTAAGCCTATGCCATTTATAGTTTTGACAAAGTCAACAGTATGCGAGTATTTTTTGATTAATTTAAGCATAGCTTGGCAGGGTGCATTTTATTAGATCAGATAGTGGTCTTTTCCTGCCCTCCTGTTACTTCCTCTGTACTGCCTTGCTTCTTATTTCCTCTCTATCTCCCCACTTTTCTCCTCTCCATATAGTAATATCAGAATATGAGATTTTATCCTATGGCCTGATCTTCCTGAGACTCACAAAATGTTTTATTTCACTCCTCTGTTCAACTCAGAAATGCCTTTCACACAGCCTCCTGGTGGCTGATTCCTCACTATTAAGTCCTTCCAGAAGGAAAATTTAAAACTATCTTTGGCTCATTCCCTTCATTGATAGCTACTTATCTTAGAGCTTTTGTGGACTGGGAAATCACAGAGTAAGGTCCCATGCATAATGATGCTTTATTGATCT